CTGCTGCTGCTGGGGGGGCTCTGCGTGGCCGCCTCGCGCCTGCGGCGGGCCAGGACCAGCCTCGTGCTCGGCGCCGGCATCCTCTTCGTGGCCGCGGGTATGACCCCCAAATCCGCCCCAAAATCCCCGAAATCTACCCCAAAAACCCCGAAAATCCATCCCAAAATCCATCCCAAAATCCATCCCAAAATCCATCCCGGCATCCTCTTCGTGGCCGCGGGTATGAACTCCCAAATCCGCCCCAAAATCCCCGAAATCCACCCCAAAAACCCCGAAAATCCATCCCAAAATCCATAAAAAATCCATCCCATAATCCATCCCGAAATCCATCCCGGCATCCTCTTCGTGGCCGCGGGTATGACCCCCAAATCCGCCCCAAATCCATCCCAAAATCCATCCTGAAATCCATCCAAAAACCCATCCCAAAAACCCCGAAATCCATCCCAAAATCCATCCCAAAATCCATCCCGGCATCCTCTTCATGGCCGCGGGTATGAACCCCCAAATCCGCCCCAAAATCCCCGAAATCCACCCCAAAATCCATCCCAAAATCCCCAAAATCCATCCCAAAATCCATCCCGGCATCCTCTTCGTGGCCGCGGGTATGAACCCCAAATCCGCCCCAAATCCATCCCAAAAACCCCGAAAATCCATCCCAAAAACGATCAAAATCCATAAAAAATCCATCCCCAAATCCATCCTGAAATCCATCCAAAAACCCATCCCAAAAACCCCGAAATCCATCCCAAAATCCATCCCAAATCCATCCCGGCATCCTCTTCGTGGCCGCGGGTATGACCCCCAAATCCGCCCCAAAATCCCCGAAATCCACCCCAAAATCCATCCCAAAATCCATCCCGGCATCCTCTTCCTGGCCGCGGGTATGAACCCCAAATCCGCCCCAAAATCCATCCCAAAATCCCCAAAATCCACCCCAAAATCCATCCCAAAATCCACCCCAAAATCCATCCCAAAATCCATCCCAAATCCATCCCGGCATCCTCTTCGTGGCCGCGGGTATGAACCCCCAAATCCGCCCCAAAAACCCCGAAATCCATCCCAAAAACCCCTAAAATCCATCCCAAAAAGCAGCAAAATCCATAAAAAAATCCATCTCAAAAATCCATCCCAAAATCCATCCCAAAACCCCAAAAATCCACCCCAAAATCCATCCCTTTTTTTTAAATTTTCCCCCATAAAAATTTTTTTTCCCCCCTATTTTTTTAATTTCAAATTTTTAATTTTCCCCCCATTTTTTTTGTAATTTACCCAATTTTTTTAAAATTTCCCCCCATTTTCCCCCATATTTTTTTAATTGCAATTTTTTCCCCCCCATTAACGAATCATTTAACCCCTTCGCTGCCAGGCCTGTCCAACATCGTCGCCGCCATCCTTTCCATCATTCCCCTTTTTTAA